AAAAAAAAAAAAAAAAAAAAAAAAAAAAAAAAAAAAAAAAAAAAAAAAAAAAAAAAAAAAAAAAAAAAAAAAAAACTGATAAAGGGTATAATATAAAAAATATAACGTCACGTCATACGCCGTTAATGAACCAACCCAAATTAAACTTTATTGAATTTATTTGTGATACACATCCCATTCACTCATTTCTAAAAAAAAAAATGAAAATTTCATTTAGCTTTTCTAACAAAGGAGGAATTCCTGTGATAAGGAGTCCTGCATAAAAAAAAAAAATTTGCATTTTCCTTTCAAAAGCTCTACTTTTTAGGTTAATCTTTTCTTATGATACATGATAGATTTGGCATTTCAATCAATGTCTCTCGTAAACAAAATCAAATTTGCAGTTTCTTTATTTACAAATGAGAACTGATGTTGGTTTTTACTATACTAAAAAGAATGATTACTCAACGAAATTCTGTAACATCTCTTACCTAAACAGCATGATTTTTTTCTGGATACCTCGCATATGATTATCTTTTATTGTTAATTGCACTTTTATAGTTTGTCACGTTTTTGTCGGAAAATTTATTATTGGCTAGAGATGGGTGACGAAAATGTTTTACGTTTCAAAATACTTGATACGGATCATTTTCATTGTTAGTTTGGTTCGTTTGTGTCCATTCTTTTCATTCGTTTAGAATTTTTATAACAAAAAAAAAAAAAACAAAAATTTACTTTGTAGGATCACCTTTTTTAGTCATATGTCTTAAACGCTTTTTATCCACCCCATATAATTTGAGAATTTTTATTGCGCTTTATTTATTAGCTTTCTTTCACTCGTTTCCATAAAAATCAAACCATTATTGATCAACCTATATCTGTTAATCTTGAACTGCAAGAATTAGTTAAAATAAAATAAATAAATCAAAATAACTTTGCTTCCTTTCATTCCTTTCCTTTCCGGTATACAATCTGCTATTATTTTTTATATTACGAAAACAATCCGACGCCATCGTTTTTATAAAATCATCTTTTTCATATGGAAAGAGATCTTTTTGTAGTCATATTTCTTCCGTAGGAAGGTTATTGAGGTACATTTAAACTAATTTGACTCGCATTGATGAAATTAAAACTAAACTTTAATGAGGTCAAAATCATGGGCTGTATGGAATAAATACTCCCACTTATGTACCTTTTCCTTGAATATTTTCCTTTATAAAATTTGATCGGTTTTTGACGCAAAAATTCGTATATTATACGAAACTTGTTGCTTTCTGAAAGTTATTTCCGATTTTCTTTTTTTTTTACAATTATATCATGTATAAATTTTCATTCACCACGAGAATATTATTTTTAAATATAACGATATGTATATTAAAACTTCCTTTTGTAAAGACACACGAGTTATTCAATACTTCATTAAAAAATACAAGTGTATCAACAATGAATCAAGCGATTAATGACACCACATCACTTCAGCGTACTGGCACAATTGAAAACTTTCATCTAAGTGTTGTCATTACTGCTTTAGTTTTAGGTCATATAGATTTGATAACTAGTTCGTTTGTGGTATGTTATTATCATATATCCTGTCCATTCGCGTAACATTATGTAACGTATCTTGAATTTTTTTTTTTTTTAGATCTACTCTGCATATAAGAAATGGCTCACAAGTTCTCTATCAATTTCAAGTCGAGTTCCTCTATATCTCAGTATTTCAGACATATTCCAATGTAATTATAAATTATAAAATTAATAAATCAATATTGTTAACCGTTTAATTAATTTCTCTCGTCTTTATTAGATATGGTTTTCATGCCGAACTTCTTTTATTCGTTGATTTATCATAAGGTTATTCCTGAAACACCTTGTAAACTACTAGCATTCCTGTTCTTTTTTAACATAAATATCAATATGATTGTAATGGCCGGTGTTGCAATTATCACTTATGTGGTAAGCAAATTTTGTGATGTTATTTTTTTTTTTTTAGAAGCATAAAATTAACCCGCGGTATTTAGAGAATTGTAAGAAGACCAATTGACCTGGACCTGGGAAAATTTGATTGGTAAGCTTTATTATTAAGTCACATTAAAATTTAACATACGTGGATTAACCATTTATCGATATCTTAATAGGAAATTCGTTACATTAATTGTATTATTATCGTTATTATTATCGATACTATCAATCCCTTCTCTAGGACCAACGAAATTTTGGTGTTTAACGTCAGCTAATAAAATAAATATATTACCAATTAGTGCAATTGTTGTAATTGTTGTTTTTGTTGTAACTTTTATTATATCATGTTACTGTTATTTTAAAACATTATTATTTATCTTAAATGTGGATAGAGAACCGACGGCTTCATTTGATAGCATCGATAGACGAAACAAATTGGAAAGGCAGGCTATGTTAAAAATGTTGATCTTTATTATGATTTTTTTAAAATGGTTACCTTTAACTTTATATGGTATATTCATTATATCTGGTTATGAAGAGGCTTTATGGATACATATCTTCGCCCTTATTGGTACGTATGCATCAAATGTAATCGGGTTAGGGGAATTTATCTAACTTTTTTAAATTTTTCAATTACTTAGCATTTCATTTGGGAGGCGTATATAATTGCATATTATATTTCAAATTAGAATTCAGCTATACGACCTAAAAGAGTTCTTTCTAATGATATAAATATATATGTATATATAATTTCGGACACGATTGCAATTTATTTTGGTTGGGAATACATATTATGAAAATCGACCTTGAAAGTTGTATTTTTATTTAATTCATTTTATTTTCTCTCATAAATATGTTTCACTCTTAATGTACAGTAGTGAATGAATTTTCATAATTTAGAAAAAATTTGTAACCTTTTTATTCGATAGTGTTAATGTAAGTTCTTTGCGTTTGTATTTAAAAACAATTTATAATGTAAGCAGAAGATTTTTAATTGAGCAAAATCCGCCTCAACGTGTGTGTAGGGTATGTTAATATGTAATATGTAATCTTCTCCCTTTTCGAAAAGGGAGAAGATTACATATTAACATACTAAACTTCCCGAAATTACGATTATTAAATAAATTGATGCAGATCAGTTAATTAATTACAAAGAAAAATTAAAAAAAAAAAATATTATAAAAGAAAATCGGAATATAAAGAAAGGGGATTTTGTTGTGTATATCCAAAAGGAATACAAACTCTGTTCAATTCTCAAGAGATATCAACCGTATTTTTGACATGACAATTGGCTGAAATTGATCTTCAAAAGTCTAATTTTATCATGAACGATTTGTGCAGAATTGGGCGAAAATATATTCAGTAACAATAATCGGTTTTTAAAAAAAGTAAGAACCCGACTTTAGATGCAAGATGTCAGCAGTTATTCCAATATCAACTCAAAATTTTTTGTTATTTTTTTCTTTAATTTTAAATGATTTAACT